AATTTAATGTATGAACTAGTTCACTTTTTACATGTAGTAAGTTTACTACAGTCATCCCTCTATATAGTCACCTCCCATATAATCACATCATATGTAATTACATTTTTATTTGGACCAAAATATAATTTAATTTATAAAAAAAAACCTCCATATAAGCACAACTCCTCTATAAGCACATTTTAAAAAAAAAGTTACTATGTGCCCAACTATATGATTGTATAGGGGGTTGACTATATAATTTGTTAGTTTGAAATTAAAAATAAAAAAGTATAATAAGGGCATTGATATTTATTATGTAATATCTATTTACTATAAGGGCTACTTCTCCCCCCATGTAAGATCTATATTATTGGCCAATTTAGAAATCATATAATTTCTTTGTATAATATAAGATATTGATATAATACATGCTCAACCCCCACCCCCCTAAAATATTACGTAATAAATATCAGAGTTCTAATTGACTTATTAAATTAATAAAAAACTTATAGACAGTATATATGTACTTGGTATATAGAGAAGTCGTTTATTGATTAAATCTATTTTAAGTTAGTGTGTTAGGATAATCACTATATAATAATTTATTTATTTTTTTTCCGGTATTAAGGTGACCTCTTAGGCCAGAGAATGTTTTATTAGAAGCTTAAATCTTTCAATTACAGTAAGGGTATATCAAGCTACACATGCACCTTTTGGGTGCCTATTTAAGTAGTCCATCTGAAGGTTCTACACTATCTGCCATACCTGTACCCCAACTAGGGAGGTATCTATTTAAACTCTCTGATTATAACCTACTTCCAAACCAATAGATAACCTCTAATCTAGGGTAATACTCACTATACCAAAGTAGAATTTGTATCTACCTAATTCGATTTTGTACCTATCTTAGAACTTACTAGTCCCCATTAGAGGTCTAGTCTATTCATGAGGTAAACCTAACAGAGTAGTCCATGTCCCACACATGTTTTTACCTGCATGTTCAGTAATTTCTTTCTAACTAGTACCTGTTGTGCTGCCGTCACTAGGTTCGTATCTCAAGCCAAATTTTGGGATGCTGCCATAACCCGATCCGTATCTCAAGCCACAACCTTTCTAATTAGTTGTCCATTATGTACTTCTGCTCTTATAGTTTACAACAACCCTAGTACTCACATTCCAACCATCTTCTTATACAGATTCTCTATCGGTCTATCCCTTATTTCCAACTAGCAACCCGGAAGGTTCGATTTAAGCCTGGCTCTAGGTGCCTTTAGCCTGTCTCACCTTAATACACACTTCTGTAGCATTTGTCCTTTTTCTCCAACTCGCAGTACCTAGTTCTCTGAAGTACCCAGCTATGTTTTCGTTAGTACTACTAGGCCCAGGACTTCCAATTCTATGGTTCACCAGGGTAGAGCCCTGCTACTGACTCCCCTTACATCAGTGATCTGGTTGGTGTAACTAGTATACCTGCCGCAAGTTCCAAGTTCTCCAAATTGGCAGTTTGGTTAGTATGTCCTCCACTTAAAAACCTGATCACTTGGTTCTCTAATCTCGGGCTCCAGTTCGAATTCAGCTTTCCTGTAGTACTGTCAAAGATTACTGTTACTTCCAAATTCAGGACTTCCTAAATAAGTTTTCGGCTATGCCGGTTCCTCAGATTTATTGCACCAAAGCTTCCATTTTTAGATGGTGTAACCGAAGTTACAGATTTAGTTCTAGATCCAACCAATAAGCATAGCTATCAACCGAATACAGGCCTATTTTTCAAATATCATTGTCCATGGGATTTGAACTCTAGACCTGCCACTTGGAGAGGGTGATGACTAGACCACTACACTAAGTTACTACACCTCATATAATAATATATTAGAAGCAGTGCATAGCCATATTTTTTATTGAATTAGCTATCAGAAAAAGTTAGCATAGAAATTTTTCTAATTAGCCATATTCAAAAAGATTCAAGAAATATTATTGAATAGCCATATCTGAAACAGTAATCAGAGTGTGAGAATTTTGGGTTTGTACAGTTTACTATAGGTTTCTGAAAATAAGCTACCTTTTTTTGGCCAAAAAGTTATACAAAAATCATAGGTAGCTTATTTTTAGATTAAATTTTAAAAAGGTTGATTTTTATTTTTTTTAAAAATTTGAAAGTAGTTTCTATATATAAAAGTCAACCTTCTACTAAGTAAATTAATAAAAGTCACTTTATAGAAGTTGTTTAGGATGTAAAAATACATATATTCTAAAAGTTTGAAGCAAATTAGAGAACTTTTTACTAAGATATTTTTGCATTTTATACTCAAATATAAAATGCAAAAAACATCTTAGTAAAAAGTTCTCTAATTTGCTTCAAACTTTCAAGATATGTATATTTTATACCTGAATAACTTCTATTAAGTAAATTTTATTAATTTACTTAGTAGAATTTTGACTTTTATATATAGAAACTACTTCTAGATTTTAAAAAATTATCAGGGTAGCTTATTTTCAGAATAAAGATTTTTCTTATATTTCTTCTCCAAGAAAAGAGGAGGTAGTTTATTTTTGAAAACATATGGTAACATTTTTGATTACCCCTATCTAAAAAAATTCAGAAAATATGAAAAATCTTTGGAATAATATTAGAATGATCCTATCTTTTTTTTAATTCAGGTTTGTAGATTTTTAATATATTGGCTAAATTTAAAAATGTGATCAAGAGGTGTAGTAATCTAGTCGTCACCCTCTCCAAGTGGCAGGTTTAGAGTTCGAATCTCATAGATGATGATATTTGAAAAATAGACCTGTGTTTTAGTTGACGGCTAATACTATCAGTTGGATCTAATCTGTAACTTCGGTCACACCATCTCATAATGGAAGCTTTGGCACAATAAATCTGAGGAATTGGTATAACTGAAAACCTATTTGGCAAGTTCCGAATTTGGAAGTACAGTGATCTTCGATGGTACTACAGGAGGACTGAATTTGAACTGGGCCTGAGATCAGAGAACCAAGCAACCAGTTTTGCTGGCAGAGGACACACCTGCTAAACTGCTGGGTTGTCGCACCAGAGGAAAAGAACATATGCTCTGAAAGTATGGACCAAGAGGAGAGCATTCTTCAGGTACCTAAAGCCTGGGCAGACCAACTCTTCTGAGTTGCCAGCTAGAAGTAAGGGAGGGACCGATAAAGAATCTGAGTAAGGAGACAGTCCAAATATGGGTACTGGGGTTGCTGTGAACCAAACAAGGGCAGAGGATAGGTAAGGTAACTCCTGAGTACTAACTTCGGTTTAAAGGCATAATATCTTCGAAGACCTAATCTGGAAATGTGTGGGACGTTGAAGGAATTAGGGAGCTTCCACTACACCCTTCTGTTAGACATAATACTAATATAGTAGGTAACTATGCACGAGGCTTGTCTAATAGGATTGTAGTGGGCATTTATTAGCTTGGGTGGTCTGGACAATAGTAGTCCTGCAGCATGAGGTTAATATATGGATTTGGGCTAGAAAGGATTTATAGTAGTACATGAATATAATTCATAATACAATTGTAACATCTTAACTTCTAATAAAGTTCGATATATAAATGGTAATTTGCAAATAAAAAAAAAAAATAAAAAAAAAATATGATAAAATCTTGAAAAAATCAGGCTATGATGATTTCTATTTTAAAATTATGAATTATAAATAAATTATTATATGAAAATAAAGTTTAGTTATATTTACTTTAACAATTGTTTTTCCAGAGAATATGTGTATAATTAACTAATCATTTAATTATTTAATAAATTACCAGTATAAGTATAAACTGTGTACACTGTAATAGTGAGTAAATTCTGAAATAATAATTCTAATGCAGTGAACTCAATCTTAACTATATACATAGTCACTAAATAGTGAGTAAGTTCTATAGTAGAATTTTTTTAGAATAAAAATTATGATAATTTATTATTAACTCAACTTTAACTACTAAATATGCATTATTAAAAATACTATACCAGAATTCTTTACAGCAAGTCATAGTATTTTGTAGTAGTATAATATTGTTAGTAGATAGTTAGAATTAGTTAGAATCATGTTTATTGTTTTCTAACTTAGGAGTAAATTCCATTTCTACAACATATACCCAAATACTGTGTATATGCTCAATTTACAGTGTACATGATTAGATATTTAATGAAAATACTCAAATTAAAGTATATATTTTATTTTCTATAATTATGTTCTGAGAAATTAATATATATATAAATGCTTGCTTCCATTTTTATTTGAGCAAGAATATATGCTCTACAAATTTCTCTTTAAAATAAAGATTATAATTTATACTCCTTTTATACTTAATAGTATAGTTTGATTTTAATATTACTGTATTGCAATTTATAAAATATTTATAGTTACTTCTATATAATCACATAATATAAATCACATTATTAGATGTGATTATATAGAAAAATTACTATATAATCACACCTCTATATAATATTTATTTTTGCTACAACAAACTGCGTAATTATAGATGAGGAAGACAGTAGCAGAAGAGTGTTTAGCCGATCAAAAGTACTTATCATTCCAATTGGTAAGAAATGTAGGTCCGAACTTCTTTTTTTTTTACAAAGTTGTGCTAATTGGCTAAAATTTTTTTTGATGGATTACAAAAAGTAATTGATCAAACACTTTACCCTTTTACTATTATGCACAGGTAAAGCTATAAATATCTTTTAAAAGTATTATATTAGAAAATTATTATAAAGAATAATAAGTTATTCCTAAGGTTTTTTAATAATAATTATAATCAAAAAAACCAATAGAATACTATTAAAAAAACATTGTATTTACTATTAATTCAAAATATGAATATGTTTAAAAAGTTTTTAAAATACAAATAGAAAATACTTAGAAAACCAATAGAAAACTTAGATGTTTGGCCATGTAAGATACTTAGTACCATGGTTATATGATACAGAAGTAGATCAGTTTAATTCATGATAATGCTTTAAAAGTTAAATTAATTTAAAATTTATTCGACAATCTGATGACGCAATATTGCATAGTAAAAAATATAAAAGTAGGGATTAATCAAGTTTTATTCTGGAGAACTTGGCGACAGTATCAGAAAAATAAAGATAGTCACAATATATTAACAAATTCACTATCTAATTCTATTCAACATATTTCAACTTCTTCAGCAATACAAACTACCATAATATTCAATACATTAAATTATTATTCAGAATTAAATAATGATTATAGAAATGAAATAGATTTTTTCAATGCAAATGAAATAGATTCTTTCAATGCAAATAAAATGAATTTTTTTGATGATCAAAATAAAATGAATTTTGATGTTGCAAAGTTAAATATAATGGAATCATCTTCAGTAAAAAATAATTCACTATCTCAAGAATGTAGTAAAGTATTTAAAGTAGTTTATTGCTTTAAATAGTAAAGAATTTTTTTAATTAATATCAATATATAATCAACTACAAATAGGAGTTTATTTCACAAATCAAAAAAATTACCAGTAATGCAGTTAGATAATTTACTAATGAAAGATTTTAATCAAAGTGAATTTGATAGTAACTCTGATTAAAGTGAGCATGACAATAATTCCAATTAAAGTAAGAATAATAATTCTAAACAAAGTGATAATATTATTCAAAATATCGAGGAAGAAATTGATATTGATAAGGAAACTGACAAAGATTATAATAAAATTACACCATCTTTATCAAATATTAATAATTTGGATATCTTTTCAAAACTATCATATAATCCAATACATATTTTATATAATCCTCTACTGTTGAAAGAAAATTACATAACATAATAGATTGTTCTTTGAATATTTGTTTCAGCAATCTTTTATGATTACTAAGACCAGTATTATGATATTATTTATTTTTTTAAGTCAAGTGTTAACATCTTTAGATGCATTTACATTTTAAAATTTTCCAAGTAGTTAGCATTACGTTGAAAAAATAATTGCACAACCTGAATCAATTGCCAAATATATTGTGTGCTTGCATTGCCATTCTTTTTACTTACTTGCAGATTTGCTTTTAAAGACTTCAGAGTATACAAAATGCCTTATATGTAAAAAAGTTTTAACAAAAACTATTAGAAGATCAGGAGAAAAACTTAAATATAAAGTTAAGTTACTTTATTAAAAGATTTTTCAATAATTGTAATCTAATATTTTTTTACTTTTATTAGCCTTTGGAAATTTACTTATATCAATCTATTATAACAAAATCACATCAATATTAGCAAATAAATCAAATGAAAAATTAATAGATTCACTATATAAACAACAAGTTGAAAATGGTATATTAAATGATATTTATGATGGAAAAGTTTGGAAAGAATTTTTGATGAAACTGAACATCTATTCTTTGTTGGAGATAGTACTGATGTTTGAATTGAATTAGCTTTTAATCTTGATTGGTATACTCCATATAGTTATATTAAATAAAGTTGTATACCAATATATATGACAATTCTTAATTTCTCAAGACATATTAAATATTGAAATGAAAATCTTATTTGGTTGGCATAATACCTAGCTTAAACAAACCAAATACAAAGCAATTACAAAATTATCTTCAGCAATGGTTAATGAGCCAAAGCAACTTTGGAGTGGGCAAATATTTAAAACTACTTAATATACAGTGTTGTCAGCAATAGATAAATAGAACAATAGAGCAATAGAATAGAGCAATAGAATTTAGAATAGAATAAATTTTTATCAATAGAACAAAAAATTGACAACTAGATTATAATTAGCATTAATATAGCAATAGATGAATAGAACAATAAAACAATAGAACAATAGAATAGAATTTAGAATAGAATATAATTTTTATCGATAGAACAAAAAATTGACAACACTGATGATAATATATTATGAACTATTGATTAGAATCATATAATTTTGGTATTATAGTACCAAAATCATTTAGTTCTCATACACACTGCCTGCTAACAACTTCAAAGTTTATTACTCATCACTTGTATAGCACTTGTTGTTTAGAAGTAGTTTTTATATACTACTTGCCAACAAGTTCAGAGTTTATCACTTACTAAAATCAAGTACAGTTGCCTTTTCTCTTTCTTAGAAAAAAAGTTACTAGTCATAAGTTCTTTCAAAAGTAAAAACACTTTTATTGGGTGTTAGTGATCTCTTCTATAGATCTCTCTTGCTTCTGCTAGTCTTCTTCAAAATTTTTAACAAAAAGTAGACAATTTGACTTACCTCTTTCAAAGGATCAGTATTATTTACTTTCCAAATTTAAATAAACTCAGTAAAATACAACCATGTATCTTGTTTATTTGTGAATTTGAACTGCTTAATATAATCAGTGGATATAGTAGCCCCATGTAACTGGAATCAGGTCTCTGGTAAATAGGGTATCTAGAGGTAGTTATTAGTCAGAAAATATTGTATTAAGATTTTACTTTATAATCAAGATATACAACTATTGCAGTTATTCAAAATTTTTTTCTTAAACCTGGCATGGGTTATAATAATATAGGTTTCATTTTAGACTATTTTTTGATAAAGGTAGTTTTCTCTTTGTTAGCTTTTGGGCTTTTCTTTTCAATTTTTTTTTTTTGTATTGTTATTGTTTCTTTTTTGTTTTTTCTTTAAAATTCTCTTTTATGTTATATGTTTTTTTTTTAGTTAGTTTTTTGCTTTTCTTTAGTTTAGGTGGTTTTGTAGTAATATGAAATTATCACTTTCTTTTGCTCTCAGTAAAGAAAGAAAATATGAAGGGATTAGCTTTAATAGGCTAACAAGGGCTTATAACTTGTATACAGGTTGGTGTAACAAGTCACAGCTAGGCATGTTTATTACAGCTGGGTAATATTAGGCTCACACTGGAATGACTTGTTTAATTTAGGAATGAGCATTAGTTTACATTCAAGATGGATTACTATTGCTAATTAATAAAGTTGAATTATTTGAGCTCTGACAAGACTGTCAGAGTTAAAAAAAAAATAATAATAAATTGTTAAAAATAGCTTCAAAATATTGAAGAAATTATTTAATTTATTAGAAATAAAATTAAATTAATAGAAGGTTTTTTTAAAAAATTATTAAAAATAGCTTCAAAACAGCAAAATAAATTATCAAAAAACAATCAAAAGCCTTTAAAATATCTACTAAAAAACAGCTACAAACACAAAATTACTAAAAAATATCTTCAAAATATTAAAATCAATTACTAAAAAATAGCTTCAAAATTTCAAAGTAAACTACTAAAAAACAATTTTAATTTTTTATTACAAAAGCTTGAAGTAAATATATAACTATAATATATAATACATATTAGAAACTTAAGAACTATTTAGTAAAATAAGTAAAAAATCTATTAGTTTAAAAGTGATATTTAGTAAACTAGTATTTTAAAAAAAGTTAAAAATATTAGTAAACTTAAATAACAATAATTATAAATATTAACAAAATTAGTCAAATTAAAGTGCTATAAATTTAAAATATACTAAAATTTATTTTACAAATTAGAAATTTAAAATATTACAGTATATAATAAATTTAATTTATATAATTGGTTAATAATCACGCCTACACAGCGGTCTTAATTAACGAATTAAATGAACTTTTGCCTATAACTCAAATTATACAATATCATGTAATAGTTCTGTGTTTAGTAAATATATAATAATAATTATAACGGGACTGCCGGGCCTGTTTACAAAGCCCAAGGCCGGCTAATTAATTACAGCTGGGTCTGGATTGAATTAGACCTGCCGAAAATTGTCAACCTTAATAGTGGTGATAATAGATTTTTAGATTTTTCATCTTTGCTATAAAAAAAACCGCATGTATAATTACATCTTCCGTAAGTAGCGAAAAAATTTATAAAAAAAATAAAATAATGACATTGTAAAATGAATCATGCAAAGAATGAAACGATCTAATATAAACTATAAAGCCAATGAGAAGGTTAAAGCTTGGATATAGTATCATAAAATATGAAATTACAATACAAAATCATAATCCACTCTTATCTATAATTAATTGTAATTTCTTTGTAAATTGGCCATCACAAAGAACAAACCATTCCTTGTGACTTACAGTTGTCAAAAGCATAGCTAATCCAATTAATTCTTGGGAATTTGATTTAAGATCATTAGCATGGGATACGATCATTTCCACATTATGTGGTGAATATAGGCTGGTACCTAATTCATCAGTGCAATTAATGATTGAATTACCTAATTCTACAAATCGATCTAATGTTTCATTTATGTTGTCTTGTTGGGAATTATCGATATTTTTGTTATCCAACTTATTTGAAGTATTTAAAGGATCAATACACCGTTGAAGAGTTTTCTTAAAAAGTAATTGGACAAGTTTTATTAAATCCAAACATAAAGATCCCATCTCTTTCTCAGTTGTAGAAAGAGATGAATTTGCAGCTGTTGATTCACCAAGAACTTCATCCCATCCATCATTAATAACATCATTTTCATTCTGATTATTTTCAGAAATTAGATCAACAATTTCACAAATAGCGTCTTCTATCAAGGCCAAAATTTCTTTCCATTTTTTTGATACAGCAGTCGAATTGTTTGAAGGTAATTGCTGAAATAAATCACAAGCATTCCACAGAATTCCGGTTGACATAAGATGACCATAATTTGTTGCATTCATATCTATAGGAGAATCTAGAAATGAATTTGCCAAAGCAGCCGAAGCATAAATAATATCACCAGTTGTGGATTTTATTTCATTAGTGAAAGTTTTTCCTGCAGATAGTGGCACGGATGAAACGTGACCATAAATACGAAATAAAGTTTCGCTTATCGCATTGATTGTAGGTATTGCCGCTGAAGGAGTACAAGGAGGTTTACAAGCAAGAGTCATCTTTATCAAAGTTAGCTTATGAAATAATTTATTTTTTTTAATTCATGGGGGTTTTTTTTAATTATATGACATGATACCTTTGCAGCATCGTTAGCTAAAATCAAGCCCAATTTTCCTGGATGAATTTTATTTATAAATCAACTATAATATTGTAACGATAACAAAAATCTGAAATTATAATAAACAAACCAAGTTCATTTTTAATTATAGTGGAATCAAAATTTAGAGAATTTTGTAAAACTGGAGGATTTTTAATATCTTTTAGGCATCCAAGTAGCGTGTCTACTAAACCATGTAATTTTGTTTGAACGTCTTTACCGTATTATAAAAATAAAATAAAAATAATTTATTGAACTAAATCAATTGTCTAAGAAAAAAATATTGAATGGAAATAATTACCAGCATTACTAGTCATGTTAAAGATCTAAATTTAGTGAATAACAATAACGATGTGGATCTAGAAAGTCGATATCAGATTTAAACTTTGGAAGCATGTGATTTTATTCTGATTGGCAAACCTGTAGCGTTACTAATGGGTTAGTTAATAAGTTGATCATATTTATTATAGAAAGTGCCTTTACTCAAGGGACTATCAAGGGCAAGGTAAATCTAGTGCTTAGATCTGGTCATCTATTTATCTACCTAGACAATTATCTGATCAATTCGGTCATATGTAGATAATTATCT